TTTTTTCGTTCGACTCGATTTCCAAACCGACAGGATGTCCATTCACGAAATAATTGAAAGGCGGCGGATGTCGATGAATAACGCGCGGCCGACACGCGTATCGTCGACATGCGAGTGCATTCGACATTGAGAGAGCTCGAAGGAAACGTATCGAGAAAGTTACCTACGGACGCTTATGGTTATCTCCGCACCACTGCACGCTGCGTATCCCGCCGCGACATCATCTCGATATCTGCACGCGCGTGTCTTTTTTTTTTATTCGCTTCGAATAGTTCTGTTTTTTTTCTTTTTTTTTTTTTTTTATTTCTCGAGACACCTGGCGTTGTTTGTCTCGAGCGGACGCGACTCACTTTGCATGCACGGACGCAAATTGCAACCAGGACGAGCACGTGGCTGCGTTTTATGCGCGAATACACATGGTGTCCATAAAGTCTCTTTACAATTTGGAAAATTTATTACAAAGGCAAATGAAGAGACAGACAAGTGGAAATTATTACAAAATGAGGCATACACTCTCGTCCATAAGTCACTGGACACTTGCTTATTTTGATCTAAACAGTTACTCGAACACAAATGTACTTTTCCGGATTAATTTTATTATACAATCTTGTTACATGTACTCTGTTTACTCTATTTTATAATAATACTTGAAAATAAAACTGATATTTAACGTATATGGTCTGAATAAATATTTCAAAGTGTATCAGAAATATGTATATATATTTAAAAAATCGAATCGATGTATTTTGGGATGAAGCCTTCAGAAATGTGTCCAAAATAAAAAAAAAAGACTTATGGAAGAAATTAGAAGAAGCGTGGAAAGAAATTCATTCCCGAAATATTATTAAAATTAAACGAAAGTGTGCCACGGTTATTTCTGGCCTTCATATTTGCACAAAGATATAAGATATATTATATAGAATTTGGTAAGATTTTTGACATATAAAATATGACATGAATATAGAATATGACATATGTCAAAAATCTTACCAACTTCCATTGAATTTTAACAATATTTCGAAATGAATTTCTTTCCACGCTTCTTCTAATTTCTTCCATAAGTCTTTCTTTTTTTTTTTTTTTTTCTGATTTTGGACACATTTCTGAAGTCTTCTGTCCAATTCATCCTAAAATACATTGATTCGATTTTTTAAATATATATACATATTTCTAATACACTTTGAAATATTTATTCAGACCATATACGTTAAATATCAGTTTTGTTTTCAAGTATTATTATAAAATAGAGTAAATAGAGTACACACAACAAGATTGTATAATAAAATTAATCCGGAAAAGTATATGTGGTCTGTTTAGATCAAAATAAGCAAGTGTCTGGTGACTTATGGACGGGAATATACATATTTAAGTTTTTTTTTTTTTCTTGCCTTATTTAATACACCTCTATATGGACACCATTAGTTGCACATCAAAACGGAGATATTTGACAGTTAATATGAGTACTTGAACCTAATTATTGTACGTATCTAAATGCATTGGCACGCCAATAATTTTTGTAACATCGAAAAACTCAAAAACAAAACCTTACTAATAAAATCCAGGAACACAATCATAAACAGGGTGTCCATAATGTCTCTTTACAATTTCAAAAATTTATTACAATGGCAAATGAAAAGACAGATAAGTGAGAATTATTACAAAATGAGACGTGTATATTTAAGTTTTTCTTTACTTCATTCAATACACCTCTATATCGACACCACTAGTTGCACGAAGCACATCAAGACGATACTCGATTTCTTACAAGATCGATGTTTTCGTCCACTCCTCCCTTTATCGAACACTGTCCCTGTCTCCATAAATATCTTGTGCCATGCACGAATTGATGCACGTGACGGTGGATCTCTTCCATACTTAGTTCTGAAGTTTCGCTGAGTCTGCAGATCCGACTTGGTTTCAATAAACCATAATACACACTCTGCCTTCTCTTGAAGAGTAGCCATTTTGTAAGGGATTTAATTAACAGTATCTTATTCATCAATAGGTTACCTGAAATGCAATATGATGAAAACCTTGGTAACCACTGAGTACATGGAACAAATCTGATGATGATATCTCATCGATTGCCTTTGTAATAAATTTTTGAAATTGTAAAGTGACTTTATGGACACCCTGTACATACAAACGAACATGGAGAATCCACTTTGGTCGTAAGAAACTGCAGGCAGCGAGATATTTCTCGATTCTCTGAAGAGAATTTTTCGTAACTCGTGACGGAATAAACGATCGAAGGTCGACGCGTAGGTACACGTTTCCTTGACACCTCGCCGATTTCCACTGATCGTGTTCCAATATCGAGAACTCATTCCTATATTTTCTTGGATCGGCAGGTCGGTGACGGTGGTATTATAGTGTTGGACGCCACATTGGACGCGTCGACGACCGACGATGCCGAATGGGAGCTGGCTGGTGGTCCACCCTCGCCCTGCGACGTGTCCTTCTTCAACGATAACGTTCTCATCAACGGGCGCAGCAATCTGTCAAGGACGCCGCGAAACCACAAGGTAAGCTAAAAATATAATTTAATCCACTATAATTTATTAATTTATTTAAAGAAAGCTAGATATTAATAAATACGACAAACATTTAATTTCTAAATATATATTTGTTTTTTTTTTTTTTTTTTTACAAAAATTTAGATCGTTTACTTTCGAAATAATTAAAATTACAAAAATAAATTAATTAACCTTGATACAAAAATGTACAAAATAAATTTTACTTATTTATTTTTTAATAATTCATTTTCATTAAACTATTAATAATATTATTAAGTTTTTATTATAATTAAAATATATTTTTATTATAAAACTTTATTTAATTATATTTAATTATATTTGTTTTTTAATAATTCATTTTCATTAAACTATTAATAATATTATTAAGTTTTTGTTATTGCTAAAATATATTTTTATTATAAAACTTTATTTAATTATATTAATTTAAAATTATTTATATTAAAATTATTTATATATATATATAAATAAATTTATATTAACTTTCTGATACGAAATAGCTTGGTTGTGACGTATATACTCGTTTGAATGATTGGACTGATATTTATATAAAATATTAAAAATATTAAAAATTCTTTATAATACTTGCGTAGAATTCCATATTTTTCACGTAAAAATCAGTCTAATAGTAATCTCGACATTGAAAAGCCAACATTATAAAAAGATGTACTATAAGAGTAAAAATAGAGCGTTATCTGACAATAAGCGATAAGTTATGATTAAGTTTAAAAATTTTACAAAAGCTTAATAAACATGGATGCATTAATAGGTGACGACTTTATTCGATATATCCTATTACTTTCTTTTTTTTTTTTTTTTTTTTTCTCGAAAAATAAATTAATGTAAGATAAAGTTAACATTTCGCGATTGAGCAGAAAACGTGTTATCTAATCTAATCGGGTGTAGCCTTATGGCCGAGTTTAAACAAGAAAGCAAGCGACGTAATACTGTAACCAAGGCCCTTGAGTCGCCGTGGGAATATGCTTTCCCCCTTTCAGAGATTGTAAAATATTCAAGGGCAAGCTGCATCGAGCCTTTCAGCCTTTCCTCCCTTCGGTTGGTCACTCCTTCGCTCCTTTATTACCAGTTTTTTCAGCTCGAATTTTCGTCGCATTTTTGCCCCTGCTTTTGAAGAGGTTAGGGTTCGAAATTAGGGGAGGGTCGTGCAGTACCGAATACCCTGTGATTTTTTCATTATAACTTGGTCAGTTCTTGATGAAAGGAAGAAATTTGCAGTAAAAATGATGGGTAATAAGAGAGTGCAAACCGTTTTCCTTACAAATTTTATTATAGGGACTAATAGTTAATAATCAAAAGTTGTATACCGGACGCTGTATTTAAACAGTAGATTTAAAATTTTATATAATTAATAATGTTAATAAAGAAATATTTAAATGAAAGGAAATTTTTATTTAAATATATTTATAAATATTACAAATATAAGACAATTGATTTCTTTTCCCTGTCGTATAATCATTCTCTCTTCGAGCAGTATTTTCAAAGGCTCTTTCATGTTATCCTGCGTCCATTTTTCTTTTCTCTCTTTAACTTCAGACAATTTTCTATATCAAAACAACCGAGAAGAAAATCTAATATCCGAAAAATATTTTTTTAAACTTGTCCTGTAAGATGTACTGCACGACAGGCACGTAGAAAAAAGACTTGGATTCGATACGTAATGTACAAAGTAAATCGCAGCAAAACTGAGGCATTTATGTGTAGAAATAATGTAATATAACAAAATTATTTACTTATCTGAAAATCGAGAAATCCATTATGAAAAATAGTAGCGTATATGTATGTCTTATATCTCTGATAATATTGAAAAAAAAAACAATTTCTATTAATTTGTTTTTCCATTAGTAATACAGATAACTAATGCTAAGAACGAAAAATAAATAAATAAATAAAAATAAAATAAATATTGAAACATTAACTGAACGATGTTTTTTAAAGTACAAAATCACGTTACAGTATGGTAGTACGAAATAATACAAATATTTCAACAAATATTTCAACAATCGCGTAAAATAGTAAGTGAAGTCTACAAATTATGAACATATGAAAATCGTAACAGTACAATAGTCACGAAAATACATATATCTTGGATGTCGAATCAAAAATGAAGACAAATCGTGGTGTCTGTCTCTCCTTTTTCTCCCGTTTGAAATTCATAGGACAGAGCATCGTTGTAAATTAAATCTGATAAAAGGCGTAAGGCATTGTGTACTGACACTCTGCTTACACGTTAGACCATTCATCACCGTGATAGCTTATCTTTCTACGCATACATGAATTTGCGAAGTATCGTCGATGTCACTACGCTATTTGATTTTATACAATTTAGAATTTACACGCTGTATTTTCAAATGTTTCCCTTTATCGCGTCGCTGTTTCAGTCATCGTAGCTATCAAGCGATGCGACAAGGTATTAAAATTCTTTTCCGAGATGCTTCGAATTTTTATGCTCGCAAAGGTTCAACGAACCGCTCGCCGCGGCGAAAACTCGCCGATTTAATGAGTGTCGATGGAACGAGTAATCCCGATGCTTAGAGGCTCATTCTACCATAACTCGAAAGCAGATTAAACGATACTCTCCTTTCGAACTATGGATAATCGTTCTAAATAATTAATGTGCTATAACATGGTACAGGCGCGTCATTAATTTTCACGGCCCAACTTCTTCCACCGAGCTGCCATTAAAGATGAAATTGCTCTTGTACAGTTTCGATTCGTTTTTAATTTACTATACGTATCTCATGAATTTCGACATCACATGGTGCATCATAGAATTTCGCAAGCTTCCAGAAACAGTCCTCCTCCTGGTCGTTTCCTCTTACAATGCGGAACATATGTTTCTAAAACAGGTCCTCTAAAAATAAATCCAAAATAGTAAAATTCATTATACCGAAGGTACTACAACCGAGGAGGAAAAATAAGTTGAAAATGAAGAATAAAATTTTTACACTTAAAAGCGTCATTTTCGAGGAAATTAAGTTTGAAAATTTACTAACAATAAGTATACTTGAATTTCGTTAGAACAAAGAATGAATTTGACTCGATTTGAAATCAAAGATTTGACTTATATAATAGCATATTTATTTTTCTACGTATACAGAAATAAATTTTTATTAATTTTTATCAATTGAATTTATATTTAATTGGAGAAATATTCATATGGATGTTTACAAATATTATTACAGTAGAACTCTATTAAAGCTTTTTTTTTCTTTTGCAAGTGATATAAAATCTATTTCTTCATACATTATTCATACATTTAAGAGTTAAAATAATGAATTAACTAAAAAATACTGGTAAACATTAATAAATCCGAGTGATGTTTTGGGAATTATTAACATGTTAAATTTCATTATGAAAAAATAAAATTTAAAAAATAAAAAAATATTAATATTATTTAGAATATTAATATTTATTAATATTAATTAATATTGATATTAATATTAACTAATATTAATATTAATATCTACTAATATTAATTAATATTAATATTTATATTATATTTATATGACTCTAAAGATTAATGCGGGAACTTGAAGAAAAAGCAGGAAAGCAAAGGTTAAAGAAAACAAATAAGAAGACGAATACTTTAAAATTCACTTCCATCTCCACATCAATACTTCAAAATTCAAGAAAACGAATACTTCGAAATTCACTTCCATCTCGTTGCTAGTCCCGGTAATTATTATCGTATTCAAAGATCGGAACCGCATCGACGAACGACTTTCTCACAGGCTCGAGCATAACATTGGATTCCTGCAACGATCCGTAGTCTTACCTTACCTGTTACCACTTTTGATTCGTAAAGTAAAAGTAGCCGACGCGCAAACCGGCAACGATTTTCAAGCAGCAACTCGTCAGAGAAGTTTAATCTATCGTTATTTACCATCGTGCAAAATGCACGAATTCCGTTATATACTCGTTGCGAAATGGACGAACGATGAATGAACGAGAAACGTGAAATGCGTGAAAAGAACTCAAAACGTGAAATCTGCAGGACGAGCAACATTTCCTCTCGTTGAATTTTCCAGTAAAATTACGAAAAAGCAATGGACCATGATCTCGTGAAAATTGCACGTTATTCAACCAAGCTTCCAACGACGCATTGGCCATCGAGTCATCGCCGAGTAATTCGATTTCGCGAAGCTTCGCTCGGGTTTGTTGTTCCTCGCGGAACGTTAACGGTGCATAGGCGTAGTAACTTCTAATAACGAGTTACGTAACGAGCGACATAAAAAAAAAAAAAAAAATCAAAACCGGTAAAAGGGGAGATTTGCATATTCGAAAGTTCTGCCGGCGAGTGATGGCAGGGACGCGCGCGGTATCCTGGGGAATTTTGTCTAGAGAACGGCGCGGAATGTTTCATTGCAGGAGCGATCGAAACCTTAACCTCTTGCGTTGAAACGACGTGCGCAAATGGTGTTAACCTCTTCCGCTGGAATGACGTGTCACGCACGTCGACAATTTTTTATCCCAAATTGCAACATTTTCTCAGATTGCGTATCGCACTCGGCGCGCCCAACTTGCTCCCGCACATTTTTAGAGCAACAGAGAAATTTTGTATAATGCACTTCTTTAATTCACATTGATAAAATATTCTTAAATATTACTATATATTTTTTAATATTCAAGAATCTATTTATTATGTATTTTAGATTTTTCACATTGATAAAATATTCTTAAATATTACTTGAATTCACATTGATAAAATATTCTTAAATATTATTATATATTTTTTAATATTCATGAATCTATTTATTATGTATTTTAGATTTTAACTATTTATTATTTATTTTATATTTATATTAACACATTGAGGACGGCTCTGATAAATATATAGCCTGTATTTTCTCGTATCTTTTGAATTATTTAATATATGATTGAAAGGATTCGAGAGAATGTATAGCATTTAACAAGTGTATTATTTTATTAATAATTAAAATTAATTATTAATTATTATTTATTTAATAATT